AATTTCGCTTCAGCAACTACTGAAATGTATGGTCACAGACAAACAGACATAACACTCATAAGTTGTTCATCGAACAAGCATTTAACGGTCAATTTGAAAGTATCTCAGTTGGTAGTACTGCGCATAGTAAATTCCCTTGCGTTTGACGTTTACACACTACCACCATCTGTTCAGCGTATTACCCACCACAGTGTACTCAACAGATGGCGGTAATGTTTTAGCGACGATGTTTTACAATGAGAAATATTCAATGTGTTATGTCTGTTTGTCTGTGGTATGGTCGTCAATGCTCATGAAGACCATATTATTATTATTATTATTATTATTATTATTCGGAGTTTATGTTTATAATTGTTCTGTTGTGTCCTTTTTATATTGTTCCTTGTATTTCGAAAAGATATGGAGTTTTGCCTAATAACATGTTTGGTCGGGCTACAAAATGGTGAATAGACAACCTGGAAGGAGTGGAATACCTAGCTCTGGTCCTCACAAGTTCCTACTTCACGCCACCCCGAGTCATATGATAACAAGAGACTACCAGCTGAAACATGGACACAGCTGGGTGGCGTAGCCTGGGCAATGTTGCCTGTCCGGCAATAGAAAAGTGAAGAGGTCCGACACGAACACTGGCGCTGTAACCATAGTACGGTGTTAGAGGAAATGCTTAATCAAACCCGAGCGTCTGTTCACCAGGGAGGTGCGGCTTAAAACGGCGTCTGTTCTCCATGATAGGAGTGGCTGATCACCGTCCAAGTGCCAGCGTGGGACTCTAAACAGAGCTGTGCACGATGGTCCCCCGGCGAGACAGGGGGTTGGAGCAGACCCAACAAGCCGCCCAGGAAAAAACAATTTTGCAAATACTGAAGAAAGAAACACGGATCGGAACAATCGGCACAGACCTAGACGACTTTTTCGGACAGCAGAGGACAACAAGGCCTTAGCCTGATTGGTAAGGTAAGTAACATGTTTGGCCAGGGGAAAGTCCGTAAAGACAGACACGGCAGTTAAAATGGAAACTTGCTGCTTTAAATAAAAAATCTTTGTAGGATTAATTCAGACCAACAATCTTTTAACATAAGCTAAATGAAGAAGTTTGTTGATTTTATAAGAATGAAGTGCTAAATTTATCCTAAAAAGATTTTTAATTTGGACCAGCAAGTGTCGCATCTTTTTAGCTGAGTTCGTCTTTCCCGAATTTCCCCTACATATAGTAATAATCAATTTCTTAGAGAACATCGAACAATCAATCAAACACAAGAAGCTTTAGGGGAAAGTGGCACAGTTTGGTCCACCAAACCAAACCATTCTAAATTCAGAGAAAAAATCTAATGATTACCAATTAAAACCAAATGGATAGCTTCAAGCCCTACTTACATCATGAATACAAATTGGATATTAATGGTAAACGTTTGAAAAGGTTTTAAAAATGTTCGTTTTGTAACCGAAATAAATCCGTTGGGGCAAAATGAGCACCCTATCGGGGTGGTCTGAGCACCCTAGTAAACAACCGATGAGAATATTCTGTTTTCATGAGTATTTAAGAAGGGTCAACAATGAACGGTTTTAGCATAAAAAGATTTAAAAGAAAAAAAAAACTGTAGGATAAATTTAATTGAAGAAATACTGTCTATTTAAGGCAATATTTTATCAGTTTTGTAAATGGCTGATTTTTTATTTTTGAATAATTTAAGTAGAAAATAGTTGAACAATAAGGGGTGCTCATATTGCCCCGAATATTTTATAAAGTAAAAATTTAATATTTATTGAAAACTAGAAAAAAACATCAGGAAACCCTGATTGATCATTTACATAACTGCTGAAGGAATATTAACGGAAACTTTATAACATTTTGGACATTTCGGGCTAGTCTAACATCTTTTTAAATTTTCGCACTACAGAAAAGCAAAATTTTAGACTAAAATGAAATTGTTAATTCAAGTAGACTTCAAAAATTGAGCCTGCAACAATTGAAATTGAGCCAGTCGATGAATTCTACATTAAGTGTTTTTCATATTGATTCATATTGACAATCACTTGTGTCGTAAGTTGTTGATTTTTTGTTTGGCAATTATTAACTTTCGCACGAGCATTCCTCATTACATGCCTAAGTAACCATCAAGCCCATTAATGCAAAAAGTGTGGTGACTCTCCATTTGATTTGCACGGAGTCACCTCACTCGCGGTAATTTTTGTCACCCCACTAGTGACAGCGAGTCAGTTCACCTCACCTCAATCGCGCCGCAGAATAATATAATAATATAATCCCCCTTATTCTGCGCCGCGATTGAGGTGAGGTGACTCGCTGTCACTAGTGAGGTATGACTCTCCGTGCAAATCGAATGGAGAGTCACCTCACTCGCGGCGCAGAATAGTCCTCAATGCTGATATAAGTCTGGTATAAAATTTAAAAGCAGTATAATATCAGCCTTATATTACAGAAAGGGCCCTTATCGGGTTTTTACCTGGGTTGCTGGTTACTTGAGCAGTTCAGTTATGTTAACTGAAGTGTTTGATACAAAATGGCGGTATTGAGGCAAACACTTTCAAATAGAAGGTTCTGTTAAAATCCAGCAAAAACTTGTTCCGCCATCATGTCCCCTCCCGGCAAATGTGCTATAATATAAAACATCAATTCTCTATTACTTTTTCGAAGAGACGTATCAGCTTTTGTAAACAATGCATTTGATTATTGGTTTGACGTAACTGGTAGCTCGCCCACGCATGCTAACACTACAATTAGATAGGAAAAATTTCTCCCCTACCCGATAGTGGTGTTAGTATGTGTGGACGAGCTACCAGTTACGACAAACCGACGATCAAATGCATTGTTTACAAAAGCTGCTACGTCCCTTGGAAAAATTAATCGAGAATTAGGTTTATTTCCGCATAGTAAAGTAACCACGTGACTTCATAAAAGGTTAACGTTAAAATTGCGCGCAATCGTCTTCCCGCCTCTAGCAATCCATGATCTCAGTTGTTATCCTTCATTCTCAAAGTAGTGAGAGAGAATACATAGAGAAAGAGAGCGCGATGCGGCTCATACGCAACGTTGCCAAAATTTAACGTAAGCTCGTTTTGGCACCGCGCCGTGCAAAGCTGTTTTCTCCATTTTTTCGTGAATAAAGTACGAAAGTCGTCGATCAAGCAAAGTGCACCAAATTATGCATCAGATTAAGTGCACGCTAATACATCGAAAATTTAGTTCAGAGCTGTCCAATACATGCATACATGGGCTGTCTGTAACTAAATGACATTTTCGTGCATTTCGAGAAAAATGCACCCGCTTGGAGAATCTATTATTGGCAAATCAAAGTTGGCACTCGTGGAGAATAGAAGAACTATGAGAGTGATGATGGTTTCAAAATTTTCCACGGGAAGGTATACGAGTACAATCTTAAAATGCTTGTATTTTGCAAATGGAGCATTTTATTTAAATCTGGTTGATGCTACGTTGATGTAGACAACTAAAGGACTACTCAGTAGACATATAATATAGAAAAAATAATTTCTTTTCAGATTGTTAGGTGTATATATAGATTTCAAGTTTTCTACCACAGTAGCAGCAACCAGATTTAAATAAAATGCTCCATTTGCAAAATAAAAGCATTTTAAGATTGCACTCGTATACCTCCCGTGGAAAATTTTGAAACCATCATCACTCTCATAGTTCTTCTATTCTCCACGTAACCTCTTTAACACCCCACTTCGATCATTTCTACGTGGCTCACGTCAATGTCAAATTAAATTTTGATAAAATTTACGTGATTTTCATGTTCGTTGATGCTAAGGGAATTTCACGTAAAAAGTAAGTGATAATCATGCACACTCTACAACATATACACGCCCAATCTACGTGAAAAATCACGTAGCTCATTCGAATGCTTCAAATTTCATGGTAGTAAAATTGATAAACATATCATGTCAGGTTCACTGGAGCTGATGATGAATGTGACAAAATTTTCACATCAAACTTCTATGTGCGGTTGTGTGATTGTGGTGTGCTTACGTAAAATGAGTTTACGTGATTTACATGTATGAAAAAGTGATTCAATATGGCGGCATCGATTTTATTAGTGGAAGAAGTGATTCCTTAACAGCATACTGCAACTATTTGAAGGTATTTTTATATTATTTCGCTTTATTTGAAATCCGTCATGCGTTGTTAATTTCGATTTGAGGGGCTGGATTACAAGATACAATTCATGGGCATTTTCCAAAGGTCAATTTAGCCTGACTCGGCAGTAAACAGTGCAAACGGATATTGCATCTGTATCGAGATATGAATTATCATGATCAATTAAGTGTTGGAAAAGCGAAATGGTTAGTATTAACGTTTCAATGACATAACTTGACGTATTAATAAAAAATGCTAACAATGTATAAATATTCTTTTTTTTTGACAAAATGGAAAACAGTATTTGTTAGATCCGGTAAAGATCACTTCAAATCACGTCAACATTACGTGCAAATCCATTCCAATTATAGTGGAAACCACAGAACGTAAACGTAAGATGAACAGTATTTTCCAGTAAATATCATTTCAAAATCACGTAAACATTACGTGATAACCGCTTCCAACTTAATTGGAAATCACGTTATATTTACCTTACTGTTCACGTTGACCGCTAAATGGGAATATTTTTGGCTACATGGTATTAACGTAAATGTTACGTGAAAAGTAGTATGGACGAAAGCTACCTATGTTTTCACGTAGATCGGACGTGCATATTTTTTGGAGTGTACGTTTCAACGATGCCGTTTGTTCGCAACCATTGCCTTCCCACAAAGCACGGTGAAAGAAGCAAGACTAAGCTATAGATCGGTTCCACGGTGGGGGTACGCGAGTACCAGTTGGGATGCTTGACGATAGACTATCGGTATCGGTAGAAAAATCAACATCTGATAACAACTAACGAATTATGCCATTCTGCTTGTGTTGGGATAGGTGGTTACAGTACACATATGGACGAGACGCCACCCAAAGCCTAAAGTGTACTTACCGGCACTTATCGATCCACCGTTGTTCCCACGCCTTCATGGCGGCCGTCTTGGCCACACTAACTACACTGCTACACGATCCACAGCGGGTGCACCGGCGCAGCGAGGGCGGCTTTCGTCCGAGCTGCAGGTACATCACCGAATCGATAACGTTTTCATTCGAGAGGCCACCCTCAACGATTGGCATCTCTGGGCAGAATTTGAGAAATTCGTTCTCCACTCCATAGTCGCACTGTGGAGGAAGTTATATGTTTAAACTCAACGAAAAACGATAATGAATCATTTATTTGAGAAACCGCATAAAGTTCATGTGATACAAAACAGCAAATAGCCGAACTGAGATCCTACGTGGTTGCTCTACAAATTAATATCTAGGACCCTCATTCAAAATGGTTTCTCTCAATCAAATGTTCTAATATTTGTAGGCGAGGTGTATTTATCTAAGTGGATCCAAAAACTGCTTAAAGATTGTTGCGGTTTCTCAAATAAATTTTTTAAATAAATTCTCACCATGACGGGTAGGATAACATGCGGTAACAAGGGAGACGCAATCATGGTTCTCGATGGGACATACTGCAGCTGTGGAATGAGGACTTGATTCGGAAGGAGGCAACATTCGTCCAGTAGCAGATCGTCTGGCTCGTTTGGATTGAGGGACAGCTTGGTCAGCAGCCTGAACAATGTTCCTAGAATGTCCAAATTGTCCGCCGATCGGGAGAATACGGGTAAGCATTGTGGGTTCAGCAAACCCCAAATGCGGATCATAACCAGCAGTTCGCGGATGCTATTTAGCGCAATGATATCTTTGCTAATGTCGTACTGCAAGATATTTTGAAATGAAGATTACATATCCATTAGTTCATTAATTTGTAATGTAACTTACTCCCTGAGATTTATTTGACATGAAAGATCGGCTCTCCGGTAGCTTGGCTAGAATGTTTAAAGCCAAATCGGCAACCCACTGAATCAGTTGTTGCAAACTCTGAAGTGTTGAGCGTTCCATGGTGAATTCCTTTGCTTCTACGTTGAGCAATACCTTGTCCACGTCTGGAACCGATTCCGAAAGGACCACTAGGCGAAAGAAAACAATTATGACTATTGTTAAAGCCAAAAACTAAATAAGTAAATCAAGCTATTCTCACTGGCTAGATTTTCGGCAGGTCCCTTGTCGTGCGGGGTCAAATCAGAAGGACGCAATAAACTCTTGAACGCTATCAGAATTGAATGTAGAATCAGTAAATTGGACAGATCGTGAGCCTTCTGCTGTCCGGAGATTGACAGCCTGTATAGAGCAATCTTCATCGTAAGGAAGTTTACGTAATAATACTGTTGAACATTGGGCGGTTGCCGGTGGAAGTTCTCCGTAAGTCTTTCGAGAACGTTTTCTAAGATTTGCGTTTTTAGTGTCAGTAGAATATCCAGCGAATCCAGACCAGTGACCAAACAATACTCCAACAGGTTAACATTTTGCACGATCAGTGCTGGTGTCCCAAGCTGATCCTGACACATGAAATTACACCGATAGACGTACAGCTGACCAAAGGTATCTAGTGCTACGAACAAGTGACCCAAGTGGGTCACGTCGATGGCGCCTATTTTGACTCCCAATCTTATCTGCTTGCTGGAGTGATCATTCGGATCACGAATCGACACAATGTTTGCGCAAGTCAATCGTTTAAAGGTGTCTCGCTGCAAGCAGTGGATACTGTTGTCGCTCATCGCCAGATAAACGAACGAACAACTTAAAAAGTTCAGTTTAGTCGTGCAAACTTTCACCACTTTCGTGTTGTACATATACTGGCTTTTGCTAACCCAGAGTAGCGTTTTGAAAGACTCACTCTTGTTGCTCTGGAACAGCTTGTGAATCGGTGTAGCTTCTTCCGTTAATTCCCACTGCTCAACGAAACACCCCCCACCGGTATGATTGGAAGCAACAATCAACGAATCGGCGTCCTCATTGAATACCCACTGGACATGCGCTAGGCGCAGATCCTTCAAGTCTTTACCCAAACCTTCCGCCAGAAAGAAGCTAGGAAGAGCCGAACTGTTAATTTCCAGAGAATCATCACTCTTCTTGACTGCAACCCGGAAGCATTGAATCATGCTTGAGTTGGAGGACTTTGTGTCCCCGTTTCCGACTACTATCATGAAGTTACCACCTGAAAATCAAAACAATTTCAATTATATCCAATTGCACATTCGGTCCTTACAATCACTGACTTTTCCCATAGCAAATATCGGCAGTCGTATAGAAGTTCCTCGTAACCGCCAAGCTTTCCGTGACCGGTACCAGCAAGACTGGTTCTTGCATTTTTTGAATATTGGCATTGGACTCTGATGGAATGACAAAAGCCCCCAGCATGCCAGTGGCCGACACGATTAGCACTCCGTCCACCGGAACCCCTCCGAATTGTCTCACACTGGCCGCAAACTTCATCTTCTGGAACTTTTCCAAATATAAATACTGATCCTTCTTATCCGTTTGAAGGTTTAGTTTCCTGCCGTTGTGGAAGAACGACGCGGCAATAATGTTCTCCCCGGGGAACTTCACATTGTACACGGCTTTCCATTCAGACAGCAAATTGTCCTTCTGAACGAAAATTTGCACATATCCATTACGATCCCCTACCAACAGGTATCTCCCGAGGACGTCCCACTGTAGAACTGAAATGGGATACTTGTTCGAAGTTACCCGGTACGGGAACCATGGGGTATTCAAGTCCACCACGTAAATATGGAAACCCCAACCCTGGATGGGGGATGGTTCCGTTAGCTCGTTGGTCGTAGTGAAGGCAAGCACATTACAGGAAGAGGGGTTGCAGAGAAACTCAAAGTGTTGTCTGGAATTAGTCGATTTCGGTTTAATTTTAATTAGAAGTGAACAACCCTGATAAGTGTTACTTACTGCGCTTCGCTGAAGCTGAAGCTGCCGGTGTTCACTTTACGGTGGGTCGTGTAGAGAAGATCCATTTTCACGCCGGGTGCAAGGAACTCTTTCGGAGGTTACGGTTTGAACAGTTTCCAAGCAACTGATTGAACACTATTTTTGTCAAACGCAGAAAATTAAAAAAGCAGTAGAAAATATCACGAACAATATTTGTTTACGTGACCGAACCATCAACAACGCAAAGCAGCAACTGCTACTGTCAAAAACGATGAAGTAATATTCGCGTGCACGAAGCTTATGTAGCTCTTTACTCCTACGGGGAAATCCTATAAGCAACTGACAGTCCGTGCGTAAATCATAGCGAATTGTTTCTTATGCGGTCACTCCATCGACAAAATCCCATAAGAAACTGTCAATGTGCACCAATCGTGTTCTCAAAATACCTAAAGCATAAACAGCATAAACGAAAAGAACAAACTGATCACACTGGTTCATTTTGTATTTATGTAAACCATATAAACAAACATTCATCCCATTCATCGCGATGTTGATTATGCAAGTCTTTCTCTGACATAAAACGTGAGTGTCAAAGAAGACGAATTTCTGGTAAATTTTAGTAAGTTTAATATAAAATAAATGGTTCAAATTAAGGAATCCATCTTTCCCTCCTCTCAGTAGAGCAATGCGATACGGACGATCCAGATTGCCGGAAATCTTCCTAGTTGTAGTATTCGGCATTGGTGGAGGATTCTACGCGTTTCAGCCGGCATTCAAACAGTACCAGATCGAACAGACGACGCCTGTAGGGACGGGGAAAGTCGAGGGAGGCAAAACTACTGCACCACAAGCAAAGTAGAAGTTTGTAGAGTCAACGTTGGAATAATTCAGGGTAATGCCATTTTTTTAAGGATTCGATTACAGCTAATACAATGTTTGTGCATTTTCAGATGTCCACCTTGGTCAATATGTACCGAGTGTTGCGGGGTTCTCCCGCAGCGCTTCTCGGAGGTGCTATCCTTATCACCGGATCCGTGATGTTTGTCGTCAAAAGAGTGTACGAACCATACGCAGCTCGAAATAGACGAGCCGAAGCGGAATACATAGCGGAGTATCTGTTTCGGAAGGAACAACAATCGCGTGGCGTAGAGTTCCATGATGATAAAGAGACCCTTAAAGAATAGAGTACTGTTTAATTCGCATTAAAATACAAATCAAGAGTATGTAATGAGAAAATGACGTGTGATATTCGAATGAAAACAGGGCCCAGTACAAGATAGTTTGCATCTGTATTAAAAAAAGAGAATTCTAAAAACTAAAATCCAAAACGAACACGAGCAAAATATCATCTTCAGAGCCTTTACGACCTACCTCAACTAGAACCGCCTGACATCTTTGAGAACCCGCACCGAAATGTCGCCCGATGCAAGCGATAAATCAGCCATACTGTCATTCTCGACGCTGTCCTCCGTTAGTAGCGTTTCTCGTTGATACCTCAGTCTTCCTTCGTGCCGAACGACCATTGTGGGGGAGTTGTTGAGCAATTTGTGCATTTTTTCGCCACCCGGAATCCGCACCGGATTGCGTTCATCGAGGACGTGAGCACCGCGGGAACATACCACACCCTTCCGAGGAAGTGACGAACTGTACGTTGTAGAGTCAACTTCCTGCTGCATCAAATTATCCTTGGAACTCATCACGCTGTCCCGGTTGTCGTTCTTGCTATGAAGCACATCGATCAGATTATGGTTGGCGCAGAAGATTCGAGCTTGAAGTGTCGTTTTTGGAGTCTTCTTGATGTATTCGCCGATGGGAGAAACGATGTGATCAAATTTTTTAGCCGATTTAGGCAACGGAAATCGACTGACTGGTTTTTTGAACGTTCCACAACTACTAGGTCCGGCGGAGGGTGCAGCAGTTGGCTTCTTAGCGGAATTAGAATTGCTTGCGCTGTATGAGAAGAGGGTTTGTTTAGCACTGACAGAAGTATGTTGGCTCGCTTTTAGGTACCGATTCGGACTGATGGGGGTTACCGGAGTTGTGTGAGAGGCTACCATAGTTTTCTTCATGCTTCCTGTTGTTTCCTTCGGCTGTTCGGAGATCGATTGTTGCTGTGCTTTCTGCTGTTGGAGAATTTTCATTCCCTGGCGCATCATGAATTCCATCTCCTCCATCGTATCATTAAAATGATCCGGTATGGCATCCAGTAACGGTGATCCAACTTCTTCACGATCAATACTATCTTCCTGACAGAGAGGATCATCTTGCAAGCTATCACTGTTATTGAACAGACTACCAGTATCCATCCTTGCACTGTCAGCCAGTAGATAATCTCCAGAATTGTCTTCATTCTCAGCTTCGCTGTCACTCGAACTCAGCACAATAACATCATCATCGTCTTCTACAACCTGTTCCTCAACATCAATCGACTCATCTCTAGCTTCAATGCTAGTCTTCTCTACTGTTGTAGCATCGAAACCAAAAACCGAATCGGTAGTACTGTTCACGGTCGATTGTTTACTATGGTCATAGGTCCCATCATCTGCCGTACGGTATACCTCGCTTCCGGTCTCAATTGAACAGTCATCGCTCCCGTTCAGGTTTGGCTTCGTAGTGATGTAGCTCTCGAGGGAAGTGTTCTTCGAGTTGGCACTAGCAGTAGTTGTTTCGTTGATAGTGGCTTCTTCAATAATCGTCGATGGACGCAGCATGCGCATACGTTTTACCGGGGAAAGTGCCTTGCCTGGAGCACACTGGACCATCGTATTTTCCCACAAACACGAAGGCTCTTCGACATCGTCCAACTGCGTTATATCTCCCAGTCCCATCGTAACGTCGTTAGAAGCTGAAAATGTAAGGCATTAATTGAATTCTTCTTGGTCAACAACTGTGTACATTGACAGGTACCTTTCTGTACTTCATTCGAATCCACTCCTTTCGGTTTATTCTTTGAACTGCTTTCCAAAATTCTTCGAATAGCTTCTTCGTCTTCATCGCAGCGTTGCGTCGAAATTCCCAACTTGCTAAGATTCATCGAGCAGAGTCGTTCCATTTCTTCAAAACTTTCATCCGTTGTTTTACGCATCGAATCGTGTTCAATAAAGGTGGAATCATTCCCAGGGAACTTGGCACTGCCCGCATCTCCACTTCCAGAGAAACGCGATGATGCAGAAACCTCTTCCGCAGAAACATCTTCAACGAGCCGGGATTCCATCATTTGCTTCCGCTTCTGATCGATCATCGTTTGGAAACTGTCGTCGATTTCGAAAGAGGACTCATCCGAAGTGTCCGGATCAATCTCCTGCTGTTCTAACGGCATTTTCCTGTGGCATTCAAAATAAACAGAAATTCATTAAATCCATTCTCATCGAATCAACAACAATCTCAACTTTCTGAACATTTTCTTGCCAACATATAGACAAAATTTGGAAAACGCCATTTCAATCAAATCATCCATTTACGGAGGAAAATATTTTATAAATTAAATTCCTGACAGAAACTGCTCAACTATAAAAAAAAGGGTTACTTTGACCACATCACAGATACTTACTGCAATCTCCGTAGATACTCCTTTACTTCCTTGATGGTCGGTGTCCCGAAATAGATGGGACATTCATCATCGGATGCGTTGACGTTGCTGTTGTCGTTGGACATTATTATGTTCCCACAAAATTTCAATCACACCTTCAACAGTATCCGAGAATAATGAAACAATCCTACGGGAAGTCCGGATTAGGTTGCAGTTAGAAGAATTAAATGGATTTGCAACTGGACCATGAACCTCAGTCGGCCACTTTCCTAATCAGGTGAACAATAAGACGCACAGAACAAAACGGTTATTTTTGAATCAACTGTCAATGATCGTTTGTTTACGTTCATTGCACGAAAACTGCGCGAAAATGGGCCCCGGCAAACCAATGAGCTGGATTACCGAGGTGAAGCAATCGGTTAAGTTGTGTGTGTGTGTTGCCGGCAAACATCCAGTCCCTCGGCGCCTAATACATAGGTGCCACAGTCGGAAGAAGTGTTAGTTTGTTTACTAAAATGAACCATGCCCATTTTGTTATGGCATGTTTGCTATAAGAAATGCGCCTCGTGTTTATTAGCGAATTTCACATCAAAGATTGATTAATTGAGTAGGAAATCAGTTTGGCACGGCATTTGTGACCAGCATACACCTTCCGGTAGTATGAAACAGGTCAAAAACTGTTCAAATCCGCAGATAAAATTTTTTGTTTTGAATTTCTGTATAGCAAAATAGTGAACTTTTCGTGAACATTAACGGCAAAGAACTCACCAACACTGGGAGACCGTGAGTTCCTGCCCACCTGTCATAAAACTGTCCCAGCCCCCACATAATATTAATTATGTTTGTTATTAGATGAACGCGACGACGTCACAACACTCGAAAGCAACTTTGCGAAATATGCAGTAAAACCACAAGCGAAGTTATAATACCTATGTGAACGCAGTCGGGCGAATAACCGCGGGACGATACAAGTTACCATAAATCAAAAAGGCGCATGCAACATTTTCATATTTTTTCGAGCTGTAAAAAATAATAATAATAATTTTATTTATCTCATAATAATGCTAACTAATAATTTAATAATAACAAATAGTTCAGATTTAGAAATGGGTTTACAGTTTGTATTATATTTAATTATTCTTGTTAAAAACTTCAGATTAATTTTTCTTAGTTAAAGCCCATTGCGACATTGGCCTTTATTCCAGCTCTATCTAGAATAGCTCTTTCTGGCAGAATGGTTGGCATCACTTCAAGAAAACAGCTGATGATCGAACAAGAGGTCGACCGTGCACCGTCTCTGACGTCATCTTTGTTTTGTTTACGCAACTCATTTCTGGACTTTCCTGTCTGGCTTTAGTTCTATTATTTAATAATTCCACATTTTAATATTTTTTTTAAACGCAGCTATGATTTCAATTATTCGTCGCACAGTTAAGCCTATTTTTGTGAGATGTTACACAACTGTAAGCTATTTGTTTCCAATAAAATAATAACCACCGAACAGCTCGTTCGATCATTAATTTCCTCGGTTACAGAATTTTACACAGCCCACCGAGGTTCGCATAGTCGAAGTCGGTCCACGGGATGGTCTTCAGAATGAGCCTACTATCTTACCGGCGGCCACTAAAATCGAACTGATCAATGCCCTCTCGGAGACGGGTCTGCGCTCGATAGAAGTCACTAGCTTCGTCAGTGCTAAGTGGGTTCCACAAATGGGCGATAATACCGAAGTGTTCAAGGGTATCAACAAGCTTCCCGGTATTAGCTACCCTGTGCTCACACCCAATTTGAAGGGTTTCGAAGCTGCGGTTCGTAATTCGAATAGGATCCGTATTTACAAATAACGATTTGAGTATTATCTTTCAGCTTACTGCTGGCGCCGAAGAAGTCGCCGTCTTTGGAGCTGCTTCCGAGAGTTTCACAAAGAAGAATGTAAACTGTACGATCGCTGAGAGTTTGAATCGCTTCCAGGATGTTATGGATGCCGCTAAAAAGGCGCAGGTTAAAGTGCGAGGATACGTATCAACCGTTGTTGGTAAAGGATTTTTTATTAAGTTGTTTAAAATGAGACATGATGATAATTTAAATTGTAGGATGTCCATACGAAGGAAAAATTAAGCCATCTGCTGTGGTTCGTGTAGTCGATAAACTCCTAGAGATGGGATGTTATGAAATTTCACTCGGCGATACCATTGGCGTAGGAACACCAGGCACATTCTCCGAAATGCTCCGTGAAGTCACTAAAATTGCTCCTATCAACATGTTGGCCGTTCATTGTCATGATACTTACGGGCAAGCACTGCCAAACATACTCACTTCGCTGGACTTTGGAATTGCCGTCGTGGATGCGTCGGTGTCCGGCTTGGGTGGATGTCCGTATGCACGAGGTGCATCGGGTAATGCGGCCACGGAGGATGTAGTCTACATGCTGCATGGACTCGGCATCGAAACCGGTATCGATTTGCCAAAGCTAGTCAATGTTGGCAAGTACATTTGCGAGAAGCTTGGACGGCAATCCGAGTCAAAAGTTAATCGTGCTATGAGAAAAACTAATCTCAATGCTCAACTCTAAAATTGGACTGATGTGTTCAATCAATTAGCCATATGCCACTTACGGGTACTGTCAGAAATTTGTGCATTTATTTTATTTAAGAATGTATATCTTCGGTAATCACTATTGTCAAGGTGGCAACTACCTGGGACATATAACATCATCAGGGAATTTATAAAGACCTGAAAAGATCTTGGAATTGACAGGGAGTGTTGCCACCCGTTAGGGAATAATAAAAAAAAAGTTATTTTTAAATTAGTTGAAGATAACAAAGCATTAACGAATTGTTTATAAACCATAATAATTATGATGGGCATCGGGAAGAAAGTTCGAGATTTTATAGATATAATTTTTGGATATTTTTTTAAAGAAAGCGCTATAAATAAACTTTATTTTGACTACTCAACATTTTTCTTGCGTCAAACCAATCCCGCGATACCTAGAGCTGATTTCTTACTTCCGGGTGCTAACTGAAGCAGATTTCAATATCAATATCAATATCATACGGCATTTCAAATCACGTGAGAATTCAAAACCACAACCTTTGGCCCGCATGATGCCCGTAAGAACCACATTGGTCACATCCGGACATATTTCGGGTGCCCTCGAGGAAGCGGACAGAATCTGTCTTGAGTCAAAGCTTATCACCCATATTCTTGTTTTCGTTCGAACCGTATTTTCCATACAAAAAAAAGTTTTTTGTATGGAAAATACGGTTCGAACGAAAACAAGAATATGGGTGTATGATGCAAGTGCTGTTAAAACATTGAATCCTTTTTAAAAAAGCCTAAAAACATAACTGTTTTGTTTTTGGGAATAATGGGTGCAAACCTTCGTATCACGCGTTCTCATTGACTTCGTTCGGTAGCTTATTAACTAAAGTATCGTACCCAACGCATAATTTGAAGTTGTCTGCTCGATAGGCCAAAAATGGGCGATTAGGCCGAAGTAGTTCTCTACCCTAACTGTTTTGTAGTTTATTAAATTATTATTTTTTTAATGGCACTGACTTGCGGTAACTTTTTGCTAGGTGACAATTTGACTTGGTATTGTACTTCACTTTTTTTTAACAAACCACCTTGAATAGCAGAGTTCAAAAAGCACAGAAAAAAAACTGAATAATGATGCTCACTCAAAATTGGTCAAAATACATATGGAACTGGCGCAAATTGGTAAAAATACAAAAACGTTTCCTAATGATAACGCACTCGATTTTGAAGAGATACCTATTTAAAATAAACTTTGTTACACTATCATGCCTTGATGATGCAAGATAGTGGTCTACCACCCATTGTAGCACAGAAACTAAGTCCGACAGCGGTGGGTTCTCTTTTCTGTTTGTCTTGATCAAGCTTAATAACCTCTGATTACCCTCAACATGTCGCTGTATGAAGGGCCAAAAACAGATTGGGTGATATAGGCAAAGTCGCCTATACGCATCTACGGAACAGTAAAGAATCTCCTTGACATGATCGCACAATTTGTCAAAACGACGAGCCCCCAAACAGGAAGGTGTCCCTATGAGTTGGGAGAAGATCCCGCCCTTTATCCACGAAATATTATCAACAGGGAGTTGGCATTCCCACTCTCCCCGTCGCATTCCCATTGCAAGCAGTATTTGAGCGCAGATCACCATGGGTTTACTGTCAGCCGCTCTACAACCACCAATCTGCTGTGTCTCACATCGTATGTAACCGAAAGCATGTCGGATCGGGTTCAAACACCAATCAGCCTCCTTTCAGCGCTGAGCAAATTGTTCGAGAAACTGATTCTCAATCGTTTGCACAAGTTTGTCGAGGAAAACAACATTCTCCTTCCGGAACAGTTTGGATTCAGAAAGGGGCACTCCACCAATCATCAGGTGATGAATAACATCCGAAGTAACAAAGCTGTATCCAAGTCCACAGCCATGGCCTTGTTAGACGTTGAAAAGGCGTTTGACAATGTTTGGCATGATGGACTTGTGTACAAGCTTTGTAACTTCAACTTTCCTTTACATCTGGTTAGAATCACCCGTAACTACCTCCAGCAAAGGTCGTTTAAGGTATCGTTGAATGGTTGTCTTTCAGACACGTTTTCCATCCCAGCAGGTGTCCCGCAAGGCAGTCTGCTGGGCCCCTTGCTTTACAGCATTTATACTTCCGACATTCCTCCCCTCGGTGACAGTTGCGTGTTTTTCCTGTTCGCAGATGATACCGCAATAGCCGTCAAAGGAAGGATGCCTCGCGAAATAACGAACAAACTTCAACGATGCCTTAACGCCTTTGCTGATTATGCCACCACGTGGAAAATCAAAATCAATGCCTCCAAAACACAAGCGATCATGTTCCTCCATCGGCAATCGCCCAAACTGAAACCGGCTCCATCTTGTACTGTAATCATGAATGGCACAAGGGTTGAGTGGTCTGCCGAAGTAACCTATCTCGGGATGTTGTTTGATGAAAAGCTCCTCTTCCGTGCGCATGTAGAGAAAACTGTAGTAAAGTGTTCTGTCTTGGTTAGGTGTCTGTATCCGCTGATTTGCCGCAGATCCCGCCTCTCAAGGGTGTCTACAAACAAATCATAGCACCTGCGATCCTCTATGCAGCTCCGGTGTGGGAATCATGTGCACAGACTCACAGGAACAAAATCCAAATCGCTCAGAATAGAGTGCTGAGGATGGTTCTTGATCGTCCTTTCGACACTAGAATAACAAATTTACATGAAGAGGCAGGCATTGCCAAAATAGATTCCCGAATTAACGAAATTAAGACTAAATTTGCACAAAAATGTATTTTATCAGAACATGCTTTGATAAGCAGTTTGTATATAGTAGATTAGGTGTATATAGTAGTTGTAGGTTAGTTATAGTTGTAAATAGTAGTTATAAGTAGTCTCCATTTTCAAATTTAAAACAAACCAATCCCAGCAAGGTGGTCATTCTTAAAACAGGCCTGATAGGACTAGGAGCTGTAATTAATAATAATTGAAATTTCAAAGGAATTAAAGTTGAAAAGACGCATCTGTGTCACTTGATGTAGAAGCAACTTTTATACAACGTTTATAGATACATATTTAAACTCAAGCTTTATTATTTTGGTGAAAGCTCTTATACAACGTTTGTAGACACTTCTTGACAGCTGCTTTGAAATTTAGTAGAGAGTAAACCTGAGAGGCGTTTGTTGCACTCTTTTTTTTAGATACATATTTAAACTCAAGCTTTATTGTGATCCAATTTGAAATCGTTACCCAACTAACATTTTCAGCTTTCCCAACTAACATTTTCAGTTTTATAAGCCAACTTTCCCAGTGTTGTGCTGTAAAGTACACAGCAAAAAAATAATTTTGATATCACGTCAAAGTGGATGCACTATAGTTTTTAGCAAGTAATATTACACCATATTTTCGACATGATTGTATACAATCATGTCGAAAATATGGTGTAATATTACTTGCTAAAAAGGACAAAATAATCATTAATACAATGCATGAACTGACATTACGCTGCTTTTACTGCATTTGTTTATTCATGTGGTCATAAAAATTACATGAAATTTTCGACATGATTGTAGTGCATCCACTTTGATGTGATATCAAAATTATTTTTTTGCTGTGTATTATATAATTAGCTAGTCGAGAAAAGTGATTCATGTGCACTATTATAAAGCCTCTTCTCAGCGATCTTGTTGTAGAAACGCATGTAAATTTGTTTACGTCAGTTCAAAGTGTTAGCGTAGCGAAGTTGGTAGTGTCAAGGTTTGCCAATACGGTCGTCTCGAGTTTGATTCCAGTTTCCGGTGCAGGGTAATTTGGTGGTGTGCTGATAACTAATTTCGATTAATTTGATTCTCGCAGCAAAATAAACTTAATCAATTCCTCCAACAAAAAAAAAAGAAGCGTAGATAATACCCAACTAACATTTTCAGCTTTGTAAGCCAACTTTTCCAGCGTTGTGCTGTAAAGTAGCTGAAAAGAAGCTGCAGATACAGCTACAAGCAAAAGCTAGCAAAATATTTTTGGAGAGCGTTTACTCAACTTTCTCACAACCATTATTCAATTTGTCAGTCGCACTGAATAACATCAGCCAATAAACGCTAATGTCACTTCTATACACACATTAATCAACTTTCAACTTGTAGCTGCAAAACAAAGCTAACAAAGTGAATATATTACTCATTTGATGGCTTCTACACAACCAACCACTCATGCTGAATAACATAAACATCAAAAGTGCTTTTTCAACAACTAAACAACCTGTACTCAGCTTATAAACTGTGTTAGAGCAACTTCGGAAGCATTTTCACAGTCTACTAGGTTTATTTTTAGACGTGTGCAGTTTTACAGCTTTTAATCTGCTCTTTTATAACTAGTCGAGAAAAGTGAATCATGTGCACTATTATAAAGCCTCTACTTAGTGATTTTGTTGTAGAAGGGAATGTTGATTTGTTTACATAAGTTCAAAGTGTTGGCGTAGCACAGTTGGTAGTGTCAAGGTTTGCCAATGATGTCGTCTCGAATTCGATTCCAGGTTCTGGTGCAGGGTAAATAATTTGGTGATGATTTGTAACTAATTTCGATTAATTTGATTCACAGCAAAATAAACTCAATAAATTCCTTCATAAAAAAGCGTAAACAGTATTTAACCCGGCTTCAAGAGAAAGCTGTGTAGTGATTATTGGATAACCGGGAAAAGGTTGAATAAGCGCCTTTCAAGTTCACACACAACTAAACAGCAGGATAACAGCTGTATAGAAGCGTTAATGGATATGAAATAAAAGCTTCTCCCGACCGTTCCAACAGCCATAAGCAGCTGACTAAGTTCGCCAGATTTGCTTTTATAGAGGTTGAGTAAAGGTTTCCTCATATCGTATAACCACAGACAAACAGACATAACACTCGCAAGTTGTTCATCGAACAAGCATTTAACAGACTATTTAAAAGTATCGTAGTTGGTAGTACCGCCACCTGTGGCGCGCATAATCAATTCACTTGCGTTTGACGTTTACACACTACCGCCATCTGTTCAGCGGTGTGCCCACCACAGTGTACTCAACAGATGGCAGTAATGTTTTAACGACGATGTTTTACAGTGAGAAATATTCAATGTGTTATGTCTGTTTGTCTGTGGTATAACGTTTGAATACAGCTTGAGACTGTATAAATGAAATGAGTAAAGCGTTTACATTGTGAAAATTGTTAGTTGGGTATTTAACTCGACTTCAAGAGAAAGCTGTGTAGTGATTGTTGCATAATCGGGTAAAGGTTAAGTAAGCGCCTTTCAAGTTCACATACAACTAAACTGCAGGATAACAGCTGTATAGAAGCGTAAATAGATATGCAATATTTATGGAGACCATCAACCGTCGGCCTTCGAAAATTGCCGAACCCGTCCCGTCCCCTGGCACTCGAGACCAAAACCCCCCAACGAAGCAAATGACGAACGACAGGACATTCCAGAAGGTTTTACTTTAACTACTACACACGATCAACAGCCAAAAACTGCAACAGGTCAACAACAGTATTCTCACACCACTCTCTCTAATGGACCCATCCTGGGACGCCAGGATGGAGCAATACCCCTTTGATCCAACTCCCGAACCCCACCCGTGACGCAACAGATCAACACCCCAACAACCTCGAGGCAGCTTTCGTTCATATTTTCCGGAGAATATGGACGCACCAATGAAGCAGGAGATCAACCCTGGCCTTTCGGGGCCGGGGTGGACGAAACACTTTCAGGCCAAACTTTTGGAATTCGATCAAAATTTCGCGATCTGAGTGTTCAGCGAAATCATCACATCGCAAGTTCCAAAGAACTACCACGAAATTTCCAGACAGGCACTAGAACCCTTGTTGCGACCAACCCTTCCCCTCCCCTTGTAACGCCCTCTATTTTATATTTTCATAAAATATCCCTATTGTACATCGATCATTGTAGAGTAGAGATACTTTGTAGTAAACTATCTTTTATTTAAAGATTCGTAATTTAAGTATTATTTACTATTTAAATTAGAGGTAAATCTTAAATTATTTTATTTTTGAGCTAGAACGTGTTGCAGCTTCTTCTCTCAGACGACGCGGAGTGCCACTGCTCTGGTGTGGGCCCCTTGTGGCTCCGGGCTTCTTGACTAGGGGGATCCCCCGACGCGCGCCCGGCTGGAGTGCCTTGGACTCCTTGGAGCCAATCATGCAGTGGATCTTTCCACGCTCGCGAAAGAGTGACTGCTTTTGTGACCAAAAACCATCATCCGGGAAGGTCCACCCGCGGATTGTTCCTCGGAAGCCAACCATCCAGCCTCCGTCGCGACGTTGATCCTCGCAAAAGAGCGGTCCGGCTTTTCACACGAACACACATACGGCGATCACCGGAGCAAGCCTCCCACAAGATTAGCTAGCGGAACGTGCGCGTAAAACGTTAGATTAGTGAAAATGAACAACAGCAAACGAACAGCCAAGCCTGCAACCATCCTCGACTGTCATTAATCTCAAATGTTTGTTTGTTATTATTATTTTTATACGAAGCAAAAATTATATATTTATATTTTTTTTTACCTAAGCACCCACACATTCAAGCAAAACTCATGACAACAAAAATCCTTGCTATATACACACACACACACAACAGCAGCAAAACGCTATCAAAGCGGCAAAAACTATATATTTCAGTAGGTGTCAAAAAATAAAAACTTGTGTAAAATGTATTAAGTAAACTAAACTCACTATAAATCAGATAATAATACATAAAGAAAGGCAAAACATTCAAGCACGGAGAAAGTGAATCAAACAAACGAAAAACGTATGTGTCTGCGATATTGTATAAGATTTTAAGAAGAGCGCTTGTTTTTATCCCAACGCGCAAGCAAACAAAACGAATGATGATGCGAAGAATGAATCCGGTTGATGTGCAAAAACACACCGAATTTTAATTGTGAAGAATGAGAATAAGAGCTTGTTCCAACCGTCACAACAGCTAGAAGTAGCTGACTAAGTTCGCCAGATTTGCTTGTATATAGGTTGAGTAAAGGTTTCCTCATATCGTATAACATTTGAACACAGCTTGAGGCTGTATAAATGAAATGAATAAAGCGTTTACATTGCGAAAATTGTTAGTTGGGTAGTTTCGTATTGATTGTTGATTCAACTCCGTAGCATCTATGGGGCCGTTGGTGAGTCGCTGGCCTCCCGTTTAGTAGATGCTACATCAACAATATCCTTCCTTTCCCGTAACGGAGAAGATGGGCGTGGCCGGCAATGGTAATTGTCATGCTTTTCCTGTTCTGAACTTTGATTGGAGAACTATTCACTCCCAAATAGTTTCATAGTTCACTCCCAATCAGAATAAGAACATTAAAGTTGATACATGACAGTTGCCAGTATGCAATCTACGAATTACTCCGTTACACACGCACGCAACGCAACTAGCACTGTGTGGCTAGTCAAATTTATAAATTTAAAACGAGAATGCTATGAAAAAGCGCATCGTGTGTTTTGCCCCGGGGTGCATTTTTGGCTGTTTTCCTCTACTTGCATTTTATTAAGGCACTTTTGAGCAAACTGCAATCACCCTCTCATACTCTAAATTGCCTTGACCAACCTGGCACAACGATGCTATCATCCCTAGAGCACGGAAACTAATACCTTTTTGCGATGGTTACATTAAAAAAATCGAAAATTATTGAGTGCATCGAAATATGGTGCATTTACGGGTGAGTCGCGTGTTTATGAAATTTCTCAGTCGCAATCAAGGGAAACTTGGAGAACTACTGGAGAATATGGAGTACTCTATGAACTATTAACAGTCATACTAGCAAACCTGAAAAATGCGTGTCGGAACAAACTCAAACAAACAAACAAACAACGGGACAGACGTAATATGATACCTACTATTATTATTATTTAGCTTTATTTAGGAGGCTTTCAGCCTTAGGCTGGTTCGCCTCCAACGATACCTACTATGAATATGATAGGTATGAGAGATAATTCACATCCGTTTTGGGGACTTGATCAAGTCGTCTTGTAACGACAGCCCAATTGCTATGTACAGGCGCCTTGCTAATATGAGAGTTATTGAGAGCGGGACGTTATAGCCAAGAATAATAATAAAAAAAGAAGAACTACTGGGCTTCAACAAAGAATATATGGCCTGTAATTTGATGGTTTGATATTACTAATTAGTCTGCTGCAGAGTGCATCAAATTTATACTCGTTCAAAAATCTAACGCCCAGCAGACTAACGCTCTATCACAATATTATGTTCACTAAACTCCCCCCGTTTTCTCACGATGTTTCACGACCTGCCAAAATTCACCAATGCTCAGTGTCAGCACAGCAACGCGGACGGCTTTGTCCATCTGCCAGTTGGTCACTTAATTTTAGTCGAGTTTCGTTCGGTGCCGGATTAGGATCGCATTTAGCCGCGTGCGCACAATCGTCGGTACGGGGACCCCGGGGGCACGTTGTTTCACTCTAGCACACCAACGGAAACACCACGCGCGAAACAAGGAAAGCCGGTTTCAACACCAGTTCCCCAGACCGAAAGGAAAATCAGTAAAAATTGGTGAAAAGTGTGACCTGCACTGCAGCAAGATCAGAGAAAGGAATTTTCATCGGGGAACGATCAGAGCCAAATTTGAAATTCTCGGCACTTTCCAAGCGAAATTTATCGAAATAGTTAATTCAAATCTGTATTTTGTGTAACTGATCTTTAGAGCCAAATTAAGTAACGAAAATCGAATTCGAAGTAGTGCTTTAGTGCAGGGAAGAAGTTGAAAAAAAGGTCTAGAAAAATTCCCAGAAGATGATATTTCAGCATTGGCAACCGGAGCAGCAAAAATAGCTGAAGCTACAAGTATCCTAGAGTGATTCACGTCGCGAAAATTTTCGTCATTTCCCAAAACCTGTAGTAATGTAAGGTGACAAATCACTTTTCCATAAGTGAGGCAAATAAGTAAGTGGTGTCGTGTTACAGGAAAAAAAATAAAACCCAGTTAAATATAATCTCCCCCGACAAGTGAAGTAGGTATTTCACGGTCACTTCACTGCAGTGTAGTCAGTATCGGCAAAATACCAAACAGTGAGAAAAATAGAAAAGCAAATTAAAATTCGTCAAGATCGAAGTTCTGCACTATAGTGAAAGAGCCGTAAAAATTGGTTCGAAAAATTTCCTTCTTTTTCGCAACGATTTTTTACCTTCGAGGGGGCTATTTTTAAATCGAAGCATAGCATCTCTTTACAAGAGTAGCGGCCTACGGACAGTGTCAGAATAGTGCTTTCCCACTCTACATTATTGTTACGCAATTCGGCGAATGGCTCGTAACGTATAATACCGATTCTGCGATTTTCGCGGTCATCATCCGTGGCGAGGTGCCTGTTGGCGAAAGGGAGATAGTGTGAGTGAAAAGCTGTTGTTATTGTTGTTTTTGGAACATCTGAATACGCGTGCTGGCTTGGTGCGAAAGTGAAATCTGAAATTTAATGTTTCAACCCGTGAATGTAGTGAGTGGTTGTTAAGGAAGTTATGAATTATGAACCACCACATCTCCAGTCGTGTGGAAAATGTTTAAGAAGTGTGAAGAAAATATAAACAAAATCCCTGAGTTGTAAACAAGGAACAAGGAAGAACTCAACTGAATAGGGAATTGGAAAATGCGATTCTGGGATTAGTATTTAAACCGATTGGAGATAAAATAGTTTGGGTAAGTATAACTTATAAAATTCAACTTACATATTTAATTAGTTTAAACTCACTCTTTGAATTTCAAACGTACGATCAATAGCCATATTGTCATGGCGAATGTGACTTACTTACCGGTTTTTCTGTTTGACGTAAAATGTAAACGCAAGTTTCGACATGAAAATAATCAAGAATATTTTTGATTAAACATATGGAAAATGCTGGGTTCAGGGGCCTCCCTTAGCTAAGTCGGTAAAGGCGCAGCTACAAAGCAAGACCATGCTGGAGGTGGCTGGGTTCGATTCCCGGTCCGGTCTAGGAATTTTTCGGGTTGGAAAATTTATCGACTTCCCTGGGCATAGAAGTATGATTGGACTTGCCACACAAATATACCAATGCAAAAATGGTACAGGCATCGAAAGCTCTCAATTAATAACTGTGGAAGTGCATCTAGAACACTAAGTTGAGAGCACGCAATAAGCTAATATGCGATATGCAATAAGCTTGAAATGCGAAGAAGAAGAAGAAGAAGAAGAAACGCTGGGTTCGGCAATGTAATGCCATTAACTATTATCGTCAGGGAGTTAATTAAGCCCTTGAGTGCTCAACTTAGGCTAATCGACAAGGGCGTAGCCAGGTTTCGAGCTAAGGAGGGGCGAAAAAAAAATTACTATGGAAAACTTGACCGAATGCCATTTTACCGAACGCCATTCCACCGAAAGCCTTTGTGTTGCTGAGTTTGGGGGGGAACTGCCCCCTCTGGTTACGCCTATGCTAATCGATGCTCTGAAACATTATGAATAGCATGATGCATTAGACCTGTTCATTTTAACAGAAATGTTCGGGCTGCACCGGGTCAACCGTGATTACTTTTCGTCATGTTAATTTGAACTTCTATGCAAATTTTCAGAAAAATCGGTGATGGTTTAGAGGTGCTTCAAGTTAATTTTATGTTTTAAGGTAATTAACGGGTTATAATATTTGTATCTCGAGACTGAAACAACGAAAACTGCTGTAACAACTTTCATAGCAAAGCCTAATGTGTTATCTACCAACTTTGTGACCAAATTGACTATTCAAAGTGATTTTATTGAAGTTTGATTTAGTTTCATGCTCGAAGATATCTTAAAAAGTGAAGAATTTTAAAGTATTTGTTCTACGAATTTTCCAACCATATGATATAAAAATGTGTAGTCTACGGCATAATGTTCCTTATACTGTTCTAGAAATCTCGTTCAAACATAGTTTTCGTGTAGATTCCATAGATTGAGGGATAAAAGTCAGAAAAGAGGCCGTTATAGCTAAAATTCACAAGACAACAAAGCCAATAAAAGTTTCAATTAGATTAACAGATCATAGTAGCATTGCTTTTCAATGACCGCCAATGACTGTTTCATTGATAGATGATATTTTTAGAAATATGAATCCTCGGTAGACGTGTTTTTTTCAAAGGCAAGTGTCACTCGAGCCATCCAAAATGCTCATTATTTTATAAATTGCTGTTATGGCTCGAGTGACAGTTGCCTTTGATAAAAAAAAACACGTCTACCGAGGATTCATATTTCTAAAAATATCATCTATCAATGAAACAGTCATTGTTAGGTCAGTTAGATCTCACCGCTTATGTATTGTGTCCTTGCTGCTGAATCTTTGTGATCTCGATTCTCGTTGAGTCCTGTTGAATAATCGGCATATGTAGTCGAATACTCTTCTCTCTCTTTCTCTATTACTTTTCGATGTTTTTCGTATCTCTTCTCATGATTGACCGCCCACGGTTGCTACTCTGTTATTGCTTGATCAGCCACATTTACACAGAGAACCAACAAATGATGTTTGGAACATTCATTCTCAATGTGTAAAATCTGAAGATTTAATATTTAGCAATATTGTCGTGCTTAGAAGCCAACTATGTAGCTTTTGAAGAAATATTTCCGATTAGTTTTAGGAAACTATTAATAATCCTTATTTTCTGATACAGAAATACTTGTTTTTTTATATTAAGGTGAAAGTGACCTAATGAGTAAATAAAAATTTAAAAAAAATGGTTTTTTTTCTGAGACATCACTTCGGATTGGCAAAAGGTCAACATTTGCATCCTGAAGTAATGTGGCAGAGAAAACAAATTTTTATTTTTTTTATTAACTCACTAGGTAACTTCCACCTTAACAGCTAGTCTAACACTGTTTAAATATTCGCATTAGAGAAAACTAAAGTTTTAAATTAAAATAAAAGGAATAGTTTCAATAAACCTCAAGCATTACGCTTACAAGATATTATCGTAAATTATATACAATTAGTTAAGTTTTAGTAAGGTGGTCATATCAACAATCAATACGAAACTAACGATTTTAAATTGGCTCACCACTTTAGTAGCCTATTGGTCCCAAGCAAACGATTAACGCACCCTATTCTAGTGGAAATTCTATTACTACACTATGTTTGTTTTGATTCGCTATGAAAGTTTGACAGATAACATCAGGGGTGTGTGGATTCATGCAGAACATGCAGGGGTGAGTGAAATAGCTTGGGACTGCTTGGGACCGTTGTTCTGGTACTGAGTGAGCCAAAAATAATAATGATTTTCTTCGGGACCCAGTGGTCTTAGAGTTACCTCTATGGTCATATTGCTCCTATGACGAAAATTTATGCACGGTAACTGAACAAAAATGAAAAGTAACGCTAAAATATGATTGCAGATTTTGTAATAAGAGTTGATGAAGAGTTTTCGATTTGAATAGCTCAAAATGATTTGGTGAGCGACTATGTAGCGTGACGTTATAAACATTTGCATTTCTCAACTACACTACCCAACAAAAACAACTCACCAAAACGATTTGAGCTACTCAAATCGGAAATACTTGATCTATTTATCAAGGGTCTGCATTTCGATTCTGCGGAACATAACGAAATTTGCACTTTAAACATTGCAATTTTTACACGTGTAAATACATATTACACGGATAGAAATCTCCTTATACCTTTTGGCAAATTTCTATTGCTGATTATTCATAAAATGTATAAGTCAACTAATAAGCAGACGCCTTGCAAAAAGTTTATGAAGATCATGTGTCAAATAAAATGTATAAGCGGTCACACATACCTTTTATGCATTCTTTTAGGACCTATATGGTTTGTCTTACGGAATGTATAAGGCTGATGTTTGGCAAAAATGTATAAGTGAAACACATGAATAAAATAATTGATTTTCGTTTCGTGTAGAATCCAAGTAAGCATATATTTTTCGTTGGATTAGTTTTAATTGGTCCAGAATAAAAAAATATTACAGCGATGTTTCGAATTTCGAATTTCATTTAATTTCGCCTAAACCTTATATGAAACGCATGCTCCTACAATTCTTACATGAAATTAAACGCACCTTCCAAATCTGCAATTATACTTAGGGACTATTTTTATTTTTTCCAACTACAGTATAAAAACTGAAAGAAAAAACTCATAAAACGTTGTAACGTCACATAGAATGTGTCTAAGTATTTTGCTTGTATATTTCAACAAAATAGAGACAAAACTATACATGGGGCCTTCCTTAGCTTCCTTAGCGGTTAAGGCGCAACTACAAAGCACCAAGCTGGGTGCAATTCCCGGTCCGGTCTAGGAATTTCACTCATAATTCTAACATAAAGTTAGTGTGAGCTCGGATAAATAATACAGGAGCTGAAACAAAAAAACAAGACGGGTTTGACCTGATTTATACATTCTTTAGAACAGACATGACATAACTAGGGTAGACAATGTTGCAATGTATTAATTTAAATAAAACAAATTTTAATTTAGTTCAAGAATGTTGAGCTACTCTATGGCAAATGAGCAAACAACCTAGCTTCATTCGATTTGGATGAAACTTTTCACATGTCTTCTGTATGAGAGATCATGTATTTCCTACAGGTAAAGAGACCATTTTGACTTGAGACTAAACGTTATAAAGGATGTGTGTAGTCTTCTTCTTCGTCCTCGAATTTCAAGCTTATTGCGTATCGCATATTAGCTTATTGCGTGCTCTCAACTTAGTGTTCTGGATGCACTTCCACAGTTATTAATTGAGAGCTTTCGATGCCAGTACCAATTTTGCATTAGTATAATTGTGTGGCAAGTACAATCATACTCTATGCCCAGGGAAGTCGAGAAATTTTCCAACCCGAAAAATTCCTAGACCGGACCGGGAATCGAACCCAGCCACCTCCAGTATGGTCTTGCTTTGTAGCTTTGCCTTTACCTACTGAGCTAAGGGAGGCCCCAAGATCGCTAAAAGTTGCCAAATCAACCGTTACAAATGTAATTAAAGTGTTTGGGGAACGTTTGTCGACAGCCAGGAAATCTGGATCGGGGGGAAATCGAAAACCGGAAGCCACTGAGACGACAAAGAGAGTTGCCGATAGTTTCAAGCGAAACCCTAACCTCTCTCTCCGAGATGCCGCAAATAAGCTGGGTGTATCGTCTACAACCGTGCATCGAGCCAAAAAACGAGCCGGACTATCGACTTACAAGAAGGTAGTGACTCCAAATCGCGATGATAAACAAAATACGACGGCCAAAGCGCGATCCCGGAGGCTGTACACGACGATGCTGACGAAGTTTGACTGCGTGGTAATGGACGACGAAACCTACGTCAAAGCCGACTACAAGCAGCTTCCGGGACAGGAGTTTTATACGGCAAAAGGAAGGGGAAAGGTAGCAGATGTTTTCAAGCACATGAAACTGTCAAAGTTCGCAAAGAAATATCTGGTTTGGCAAGCCATCTGTACCTGTGGCTTGAAAATCAGCATTTTCATAGCTTCCGGGACTGTCAACCAAGAAATTTACGTGAAAGAGTGTTTGAATAAACGTCTGCTGCCTTTCCTGAAGAAACACGGTTGTTCCGTACTGTTTTGGCCGGATTGGCATCTTGCCATTACGGTAAAAAGGCCATGGAGTGGTACGCCGCCAACAACGTGCAGGTGGTTCCCAAGGACAAGAACCATCCCAACACGCCAGAGCTCCGCCCAATTGAGAAATACTGGGCTATTG